TATAAACATATAGTTCGTCTTCGTGATGATGCCATGTACAGTTTTGGGTGTTTCATTTTTTATTTTATACATGCATACAGACGATGGCGGTGTTGAAGCTCTTTTATTTGCCGTCAAACAGTTGAGCACTGCCGTGTGTGTATCCTGTCGCAAAATGCGGCGAAAAGTCCTACACGATGGTAATAATGTGATTAAGGTGTTTACATGTCTATACTGCACTTCAGTAATGCGACTAAAATAGGAATACTCCACATGTCTTAATTCAATTTCTGTTTACTTCGAATGTGACTTTAGCCGGATTAAGGTAATCAAAAATCTCTGTTTACATGGTAGATTCTTAATCAGAGTATTGTCTTAATCGTGTTAAAATCGGATTATTGTTGTCCATGTAAACGTACTTACTGTCACGTAACGTCACATTTACCTCAGAAAAAACATAACGTTATTCGGTGACCATAAACTCATTAGTCAAATAGAAAAATAAACTGTAGAGAGGGCCATGTTGCTAAATATGCACCATATAATATATTCATTATAATTTTCACTGTTCTTCGATGTTTAATTTATATTTTTTATGACAACCACCATTTAAATGTTTATATATTAAAAAAAAAACAAAAAACGAATAGAAGTAGAAATATTATGTAATTGTAACTTTTTTACCTTCAAAAACTCCTGGGTTTCTTTTGCTGTATGTTTTGGGTCATTGTCCATTTGTACTATGAATAGAGGTCGACCGATTGATCGGCCGGCCAATGGATCGGCTGATTTTTGAATTAATCGGCATCGGCCAATTGTGCTGCAAATTAGGCCGATTTATAGGCAGGCGCATCTGCGGGCAGCCAATGAAGGAATAGCCTACATCTGTCCATGAAATGGCTTTTGAGTCAACTGTCCAATTACTTATGGTCCCTTGAAAAAAGGGGGAGGTACATATTAAAGAGCTGTAATTCCTTAACCTTTCCTCCAATTACCCTCAAATTAAAGCTCAGAGTATGCACTTTAAGCCCATATTCATTATATAACTGTAACTTGAATATGTTTTGGTCAACAGCTAAAATAATACAAATTGGGCCTGTGTCCAAATATATATGGACCTAACTGTATATAAAATAAATAATATCATTGTGTAGTATTGACTTATTACAAAAACATTGCTACTCTTAATGTCTAGGCTATGGTGGTATTTGCCTCTCTGCTGCAGCAAGACATAACTGGGATGCTTAGTCCTGCTCACCTTGGTGAAAATATCTGACAGATTGGGCAGCACACCTATTGGGCAGCACACCAATACCTACCATTCTGTTGCCCGTACTGTCCTTTATAAGTCTCTTTGATCCTGCTCCCATTCCAGACAGAAGCACAGCCTGACAGGATGCATTCGACAGGGTTACCTGTGGGCCCATCCTTAACTTCCACAAGCAAAGATGTGAAAAAGTACAGTGTGCTGACTCTTAAATGCATGTATTGCAGCTAGCTTTCTTGCTAGTGTTATCCATAAAACACATTTGTTTTACTTCTTTTAGCTGTTCTGTGTTTGCAGTGAGCAGAGATTGACTATTTCATCTGTCAGTCAGGCAGAATGTGTTGCCGTATCTAATGTGCTGTTGGTATTTTAATCCCAGCCCTTATGTAAGCCAGCTTGTTCTCTAAGGACTGAACATTGGCTGACAGTATACTGGTAAGATTGGGTTGATACCCAAGGGATGGATTGTTCTGAACACCGGAGCATCTCCCATTGTGCTTCTTGCACCTTGGGAGCTCACCTTCTTTCTGTTCCAAAGATTCTCCTTGACCCGAGCTGACACAAGCAGCTTACCTGTTGTAAAGAGTGTTCATGAAAAAGTGGTGTTAGTAAATAACCGCACCTGATGGTGTCCTAATGTCCTAACGTCCTGTCATGAACCTTGATGACAGTAACTGGAGATTGGGTGGATCCTCTCTCACTTGTTGTTATAAAGATTGCTCTCACAGAAACGGAAATGCTGCTTAGTCACCATGCCTTGCATATACGGAAATTAGGAGAATTAGCTCAGTTTGTTCTTCCTCCTTTGGCAGTGTGTATTATTCATTCCCCCTTCAGGTCCAAGTGTATAATTGGAGGAAATGTCTAGTTTTCAGTTTTGAACATTCAATCAGTGCACACACAAATTTGGCCCAATGTTTGCTGACATGTTCTTTTCTGAATTTCTCTCTCTTATAGATGGATGTTGAGGAGCAGCCACAGATTTCAGTGCCTGATTTCAGATCTTTTTCTACCTCTGAGGACCTGCAGAGTGAGACAGTGTCACACACACACAGTGAGACAGCATCCTCTGGATATGCATACATGCACGGAAACGAACACCTCGGTTCTGCTGAAGCCTCACAAAATGGTAAAAACCATAAAAAAACACACACGATCACATTTCTCCCAATATTTTGGAACTCACTCCCAACTTGCTGTGATTATACTAACCTTTCACATACAAATTTACAGCAAGGCAGAGTATCTGTGCTGAATGTCACACATTAATGTTAACAGAGTCATAGAAACATTCATTTACATATACATGTTAGTTGTGGGTGTGAATAACAGGACACACTGGTCGAAACCTATATATCAGTTCCACCAGGATTTTTTTTTTTTTTGTGGCCCAAAATTGAATTTCCTGCAGCTTTTTTTAAATATTATGGTGATATTTGCATAAAACATTTGTTTTGACTCGGATTTTGATTAGCAATACTGTTTTTCCCCCTCTCGGGATAGTCTTTTTGCATAAATAAGACAAAAATGCAAGCTACCACAAATAATGCAGAGTTGGCCGTTAAATTGTTTTTATGCTGTATAATTTATTATTTTGAAATAAATCTATGTTTAATCACTTATATGCCTAATCAGTGTCTATTCTAGTTTAATGCTAGTAAAGGCATTTGTGGTTGGATGAAGTTGTTCACAGTGTACCTTCAATATGAGGTTTGTAATGATGTGAAAATATACTTCTGGAACCAAAGTCTGTTGATCTGAATGGAGTGATTTTGGTCTTTGTTTTGTCTGATTGGTTTGCAGGTGTGCAAGAGGAGCAGTTGGATGTGTCGCATCACTATGACAATCTTGCCTTCGAGGGTGACGTTCACAGCCAGAGTGAAGTTAGGACCTGAGCAGCACAAACAAACACTGATAAAATGCACTCACAGATGAATGAGGGGTTTTGATATGAGGACTTATATCAAAGCACTGCTGAGCCCTTTTCTGATTAGTTTCTGACTAAGTGCCTATAAATTCTCTCTCTCTCTCTCTCTCTGTGACTGTTTGTCTCTGTGGGTGATCACAATGATTTCTGGGTCAATCAGAGGTCATGTTTTAATTATCTGTGGCTAATTCGGGGTATTATGATTTCTGATTCAGGGTTTGATTCACACTGTGGTTGTGTTCATGTTTTGAGACTCCCAGCCTTCCATAAGCATCATGATGAGCAGTTGTGGAGACACACAGAGAGAGACAGAGTGCTCCTCCGCCTGCTGTAAATCAGTGGACTTAATGCATACTATACTTTTCCCGTTTTGGTGACTTAATAAATTATATTGTTCCAGTTTTGATGGAAATTTAAAATTTCAGAAATATTGTGCCTTACACACACTTATGTATGTGTGCAAATGTATATTACTCATTGCATAGGCCTAGACATAATAGGGGTGGTTCTAAAGGAATTAGTTCTCTTGATTGTAATATTTAAATAAGGGATGAAAATATTTCTTTACTCTTTCAAATGAATAGTACGGACATTAACACTGTAAATAAAATCTTTTATGAAATTGCCTGTGTGTGTGATTATACTTATTCAGTTATTAAATTATTTTTATAAAGTTAATTTCCCTTAACTATTATCAAATGTGTATTCTTCCGCAGATGATAAAATCAAACAAACCAAAAACAAATAAATAAATCTACAGCGCAATTCAGTATAGTCTGCTACTCGAATCAAATTAATCACTTATTATTGATTCTTTTTAGTGATTCAAAAACACTTAAAGGTGACATATCAGGAAAATCTGACTTTTCCAGGTTTAAAGTGCTATAATCAGGTCCCCGGTGCATCTACCAACCAAGGAAACGTGAAAAAGATTAACCCAGTAACTTTGTTTTAGGAAGCCTTTTTCTGCAAGCGTCTGAAAAAAGAGTGTCTGATTTCGTATATCAGAAGTTTAAACTCATATGGTTTAAAACGCATGATTTCAGCACGATAAACATGATAATCAGAACCGAAACAGATGTTATTTAGCAGGTACGAGCTGTAATGGCACAGCTCTATTCTGGAAAAGGGGGCAGAGAGCAGCAGCTCATTTGCATTTAAAGAGACAGGCCCGAAAAACAGTGTTTCTTTTTCCACTCAAAATAGGCATTTTCAAAATGATATAATAAATTATCTGTGGAGTATTTTGAGCTGAAACTTCACAGACACATTCTGGGGACACCAGAGACTTATATTACATATTGTAAAAAGGGGCATAATATGTCTCCTTTAACATAAATCGTTGCTGCTAATAATTTAATCTGAATCACTGAACCGCAAATTATTACTTTTGAGTCTTGACATTGCACCAAGATCTAGCCTACTGTTCTTTGAGACTTGAATAGAATAGAATAGATTTTTATTGTTTTTGTTTTAAACAACGAAAGACTGTTTAGCAGCTCACAAGGTTTTGGCATAATAGACCAACATAAATAGATACAAATAAAATTAAAATAGACAAGAAGAGAGGTATTCCAGAAGGTAATATATACAATGGTTAGTGCAAGATATTGTAGTCTAGTCTCAAGTCTACTTGATTTATAGAGACCTTTCCACTACAAAGTAGACCAAAGGACTGTACAGCAACACAAGACAAGAATAGTAAAAACAAAAATCAACAATAACAGAAAAACAATTTACATCTTCCAAAAGTCAACAATTAAAAGCCATAGAAAACAAGTGTTTTCACGAGATTTAAAAACATCAACTGAGGATGCAGCTCTGATGTCAGGTGGAAGGGTATTCTACAGTCTTGGGCCAGCAACTGAGAATGCACGATCCCCCTTAGTTTTCAGGCGAGTTTTCGGAACTGAGAGCAGTAAGCAGTTAAATGATCTTTGATGTCTACCAGAGTTCATATGAATCAGGTCCGTAATATATTCTGGGGCCATATCATGGACAGCTTTAAAAACGTACAGAAACACCTTATACTAAATCCGATATTTAACCGGAAGCAAATGCAGCTTTTCCAAAACTGGAGTAATATGCTCCCTTTTCTTTGTACTAGTAAGGAGCCTCGCAGCTGCATTCTGGACCAATTGCAATTTTGAAATAAGAGATTGGCTCACTCCCAAATAAAGTGCATTACAGTAGTCCAAACGGGAGGAGATAAATGCATGAATCACTATCTCAAGGTCAGCAACAGACAAAAATTATTTCATTTTTGCAATGGTCCTCAACTGAAAGAAGCAACTTTTCACCACACATTTAATCTGATGATCAAACGTTAGAGCTGAGTCAAAAATTACTCCCAGATTTTTATTTGGGACTGCACATTTGTTGTCCATGTACTAACACATCATTTATGTCACAGTCAGCCTTATTTGGCCCAAAAATTATTACTTCAGATTTACTCTCATTTAGCTGTAGGCGATTTTGCTCTAACCAGCACTTCACCTCCTCAAGACATAATAACAAAGATGAATGAGAAGTTGATCCTCCAGATCTAATAGGCAAATAAATCTGAATATCATCAGCATAAAGATAAGACATACTGTGTTTTTAAAAAAGAAGGCCTAAAGGCAACAGAAATAGTGAAAACAGGGTGTAAACTGCAATTGTAGTGCAAACTGAAGCAAATTAAACAAAAACAACAGTGCAGAATACAGTATACATAGTATTGGTGTATAGGAATGTATATCAGGATGTATGAATAAAAAACATAGTGTAACAGTATAAGATTTGTGTAAACATATGAGAGGTATTTACAAATTAGTGCAAATATGCAGTATGGTGTGTGTGTGTGTACTATTGCACTTGTAGACCTGAGACATTGGTTTATTGTTCGATAATGCTTGGGAGCAGAAGGAGGGAAGGAGGAGGAGTTATGCATTTGACTGCCTGAGGGAAGAAACTGTTTTTTAATCTGTTAGTCCTCGTTTTGATTGTTCTGTATCTCTTCCCAGAGAGCAGAGGGGAAAACAGGTGATGTCCGGGGTGAGTCGGGTCCATTATGATACAACTGGCTTTCTTTCTAAGACGGCCAGTGTAAATGTCTTTGAGGGGAGGTAGTGTTGTGCCAATGATGCGCTCTGCCACCTTCACCACCCGCTGCAGGTCTTTTTTATTCTCTTCTGTGCAGCTGCTGAACCACACTGTGATGCAGTAGGTCAGAAGGCTCTCTATTGCTGACCGATAGAAATTGGTCAGCAGGCGATGAGGGAGGTGCGCCTGTTTCAGTTTCCTGAGGAAGTACAGTCTTTGCTGTGCCTTCCCCACCTGATGGGAGATGTGTGCGGACCAGGTGAGTTCAGCTGAGATGTGCACACCAAGGAACTTAAAGCTCTCTACCTTCTCGACCTTCTTACCCTGTATGCAGACTGCAGAGTGCTCAGTACGCCTTGATCTTCTGAAATCAATGATAAGTTCCTTGGTTTTGGATATGTTTAAGTCCAGATTATTGAGGGAACACCATTTTGTCAGATGCTGGACCTCCTCCTTGTAGACTGTTTCATTATTGTCTGTAATCAGTCCCACCATGGTGGTGTCATCAGCAAATTTGACAATGGTGTTGGTGGAATGGATGGGGGAGAAGTCGTGTGTGCGAGAAGAGGAGGGGGCTGAGGACACACCCCTGTGGTGTGCCAGTGTTCAGGATGAGAGTTGATGATGTGTGACCTCCCATCCTGACATTCTGAGGTCTGTTGCGCAGGAAGTCCAGTATCCATGTGCACAATGAACTGCCTAGGCCCAAGTTGCTCAGATTTTGAACGAGTTTGTGGGGGATGACTGTATTAAAAGCTGAACTGAAATCCACAAACAGCATTCTTACATAAGTGTTTCCATAATCCACGTGTGTAAGTGCAGTGTGGAGAGCTTTGATGACTGCATCTTCTGTCGATCTGTTTGCTCGGTAAGCAAACTGGTTTTGGTCGAGGTCGGCAGGGATGACAGTTTTGATGTGAGAGAGTATGAGTCTCTCAAAGCATTTCGTGATGACAGGGGTTAGAGCAACTGGACGATAGTCATTCAGGCAGTTTACTGTGGTTTTCTTTGGAACTGGGATGATCATCGCTGACTTGAGGCAGGTGGGGACAGCAGACTGTAATAGGTAGAGGTTGAAAATGGTAGTAAATACCTCTGCCAACTGGTCTGCACAGGCTTTCAAGATCCATCCAGTGACTCCATCTGGACCAGCTGCTTTCCTCGCGTTGACCCTGCAAATAGAGTGGATCTGACCTGATGCTGGTGTAGCTGTATCGTGTCTTCCTTTTCTGGTAGTGAAGGATGGCTGCTGACATCACTGTTCCGCTAGGCAAAGCGAGAAAAGAAAAGACTTAAATTTGTGTAACTGATGAAACAGTTTGTTGAAGATACACAAGCTGGATTGTAATCAATGGCGTTTCATAAAATGTAACAATGTTTTGTTTCTTTAGAGTTTTAAAAATATATATTAAGAACCTATTATTGAACTATTAACACTTTAAAAATGTAAACACATCATTGGACTTTTGCTATTTCTTCAAAAGTACTTAAAGAACCGTTAATGAGTAGAACCGGACTCTTTTCTTTTTTCTTTTTTTTTAAGATTCTCGTCCCTATTCCTGAGCGACGTCTGAAGGCTTTGGCATGGAGGAAAACCTGACGAGCAGTGTTGGGGGTAACGCATTACAAGTAACGCGAGTTACGTAATCAGATTACTTTTTCCAAGTAACTAGTAAAGTAACGCATTACTTTTTAATTTACAAGAGAATATATGAGTTACTTTTTCAAATAAGTAACGCAAGTTACTTTTTTTTTCAATTTATTGATTGACAGCTCTCCTGTCCCCATGTTGAGAGAAATCAGATGTTACTGTAGTTCTAAAATAAATATGAACATGCATTACTTCATCTCACTCACAAAAAAAACAAAAAAAAACACAGATTCAATATTCCTCAAAATGAATAAAAATAATGCAACTCAGAATATGACGCAAACCTGCAATAATTAAATGTTAAACAACACAAATATCCTTTATGTATTTAATCCCATTCTATTAACCAATGTCTTTGCTTCTGACCTTCGATGATCCAGTTCAACCATAATAAGCAAAAATTACTACACACTTGTGTGTTGAAAGTTCTTCTTCTGCATTCTACTGTACGGACGTAAATTTACTTTCCCTTCAGCCTGAGGCTTATTCATTTCACTTTTGGTGTGAAAAGGCTTTTATATTTGCCAAAAATATAACTTTTTTATTTTAAAAACAAACAAGCAAGCCCTGTCAAGATTTTTTAAAGTAACTCAAAAGTAACGTAACGCATTACTTTCCATAAAAAGTAACTAAGTACCGTAATTAGTTACTTTTTTATGGAGTAACGCAATATTGTAATGCATTACTTTTAAAAGTAACTTTCCCCAACACTGCTGACCAGCTCAAGGTAAAACCGCTGTGGGCGGTACAACGCGTCGTAATAAACATATGTTGCTGTCCCTTTAAATAATTTGAAACAAAGTCATGAGGTGGCGCGGGGATTATGGGAAGTGTAGTGAATAGTTTTCAGGGCAGCGCTTTCCTCTGCTAAGCGGGGCAGATGTGGAAGACTACAATCCCAGCGGCGCCGGGGTTGCTGTCTTGGCTCAGTTTCTGTCGACGTGGGAAAAGCGGCGCAAGAGCAAACAACACTCAATCTATGGGTGTATGCGCTTGAGATGATACGAGTGTCATGCGAGAGGACGCGTGTCTCTGAAAACAGATTCCAGCATGTGGCTCAAACCCGAAGAGGTGCTTCTCAAAAACGCGCTGAAATTATGGGTGACGGAAAAATCCAACGAGTACTTCGTGCTGCAGCGCAGACGCGGATACGGTGAGGACAGCGGCGGATTGACAGGTAACGTTACCGTGAGCGCGCGGATATCCGTGTTCAAGTGCTAGGCATGGGAAAAGCCTCTGATGCTTCAACTGATGCGTTAATATGTATCCAGCTGTCATCTCTTTTTCGGTGTTACACCTTAAAAAAAACACTTCAGTTGATTTCCCAAACTGTTGATTTTTAGTTTTAACCCCAAGTGCTTTTGCAACAGGTCAAGGGTTAATGCAGTCTTGCAGATTGGATGTTTTTGTAAGTTTGACTGTCAGTGGGCTGATGATGTGCTCTTCTGAGTGCTGACGTCACCACTGCGGTAAACTGGCCGTGTGCATAAAGGTAGGCTGCTTAAAAATGCAACATTCCTCCAGATATGATATATTTAGAAGCCGAAGCCTAAACGTGTTTAATGCGGAGACTATTCATGTAGGTCTGCTCCTTCTCTTTGACAGGAGTTGTTGCGTCACGCTGTGACGTCAGATTGTTTAGGTGAGGTGGAGCAGCGTGTTTACTGGTGTTTACTGGCAGATGCTTTCTCTCCAGTGTCACTCTGAAAGAAGGCCGCATTGATTGGTGATGCGACTTGGGAATATCTTGTCAGTAAAGGGCAGCATGATAACTGCAAGTTTGATGTCATTTTAAGCCAATTTAAACTCTATCTTTTAAAGATACATACATTTTTACTATTTGAACATGAAATGTTTTGAGAAATATAATTATAATGATGTACATTTGCATGAGAACTAGGGTTACACTTTATTTTAAGGTGTCCTTGTTCCGGTGTAATTATACATTTAAGTACTGAGTAATATTAATTAACTACATGTACTTACTATATTGTTAGGGTTAGGATTACTTGCATTTAATTATGCCTAATTTATTGTTATTACAATAGTAGGTACATGGAACATGTATAACATGGACACCTTAAAATAAAGTGGTACCTAACTCAGTATAATATCAGTAATTCCACTGTAAAAAAAAATATTTGCAAGTTACTAAAATTACTTCTAATAATTGTTTAATTTATTTGTAGCTTTCATTCAGAGATTCTTTTTATATATATATATGTGACCCTGGACCACAAAACCTTAAAGTCCTAAGTCGCACGCTATATTTGTAGCAATAGCCAACAATACATTGTGTGGGTCAACATTATCGATTTTTCTTTTATACCAAAAATCATTAGGGTATTAAGTAAAGATCATGTTCCATGAAGATATTTTGTAAAAAATTCAAACCTAATTTTTGATTAGTAATATGCATTGCTAAGAACGTCATTTCTCGGCCAAAACTTTAAATGCAATTTTCTCAATATTTAGATTTTTTTGCACCCTCAGATTTCAGATTTTCAAATCGTTGTATCTCGGCCAAATATTGTCCTATCATAACAAACCATACATCAATGGAAAGCTTATTTATTCCGCTTTCAGATAAATCAATACAATAGTACAAAAAAAGTACAATATACAAAATATACAATTGATCCACCATTACAAATTGACTGAGTATGGGAAAAATATGAGGATAGTTGTAAGTTTGTGGCAGGACCACAGCTATGTCATGGGAAGTGGTGCTCAATTTTAAATCCAATCCTGCAATTAAATGCAAATTGGAAGGATGGCTCTACATATTAGAGAGTTGAAAGCCAGCTGAGCTGCTGCGTTTTAATGCATTAGAGATTTATAGGCATTGGTCTGCTGGGAATTGTCTGCAGGGGTAGATGTTGGGTCACTGATGACAACAACTTATTAATAAACTGAACTGAGCTGGATAATGACTCTAGTTTTGCAACATCGACAGTGTTATTGAACTGAATTGAAAGTTTCAATTTGAAACAGTACTGGACTACATTAAGATGAATAATGACACTTATCTTCTAGAGCTGCTTTACAGCTGAAATTGAATTTGTTGGAGGAATTTTACAACATTAACACTGTTATTTTTCTGCTATTAATGTAAAGCTTTGAAACAATCTGTATTGTATAAATGGGACTTGACTTAATAAATAAAATAACAGTTTATATAAAAATAAATGATTAGTAATATGTGTCATAGCATCACAGATCGCCAGCACAGAAGAATTTATGGCCACAATTGTTGTTGAGCTGATTATAGGTTTTACTCTAATTAGTGACTATTTTTTTCTTTTGGAGTTCATCACCATGGAAACCTTTTCTTCATGGCTAAGGGCCATAATACACCAGCTTCTTCCTGAAGCAGTGCAGAGAGGACAGATTTTCAGTGACTAACATTAAATTCCCTGCTAACATCCTGATGTGCATCAGAGACATTGAAAGAAGTAAATCAAGTGCCAGTCAAACCTAATATTATTCTATATTGTTTTATCATAGTAACGTATAATGTTTTCATGTTTTTGGAGTCTCTTATGCACACATAGGCTGCATTTATTTCATCATAAAAACAGGAAAAACAGTAATATTGTGAAATACTATAACAATTTAAAATCAGCAGCCATTTCTCCAGTCTTCAGTGTCACATGATCCTTCAGATATTATTCTAATATGCTGATCTGATGCTCAAGAAACATGTCTTATTATGATCAGTGTTAAAAAAAAAGAAATAAATGAAAACGGCTGCTATTTGTATGAATGTAATGACTACTCCATAAATGTTTCATATTTTCTTGCTGTTGTCCTTTCATGTTTTCATATTCAGTTGTAACTCAGAGCGCAGATTTAAAGAAATATATATAAAGTTTTTGTAATGTTATGTTTATTATTTTATGTCATTGTTTTAGGCCTGCTGGTCGGAACTTTGGACACAGTTCTTGACTCCACAGCCAAAGTCGCCCCGTTTCGCATTTTACACCAGACGCCCGACTCTCAGGTGTACTGGAGCATTGCCTGTGGTGAGAGAGATGCTGCACACAGTGTTAATGTGTATGTGAAGGCTTAGACTCTCTTCATTTAGATCCTTATATAATGTGTGTGTGTGTGTGTGTGTGTGTGTGTGTGTGTGTGTGCAGGAGCATCTTTAGAGGAGATCTCACAGCACTGGGACTGGCTGCAGCAGAACATCATCAGAACTCTCTCTGTGTTTGATTCTGGTGAAGACATCACCAGTTTTGTCCAGGGAAAGATAAGGGTGGGAGGGATATTTGTCTCCAAAACACTTTAGAATGTTGTTTTTTCTTGTTTCTGTGTTTTGTGGTATTTTAGATGTAAGTCCCAGTCTTGCATTGTTGACTTCAGTGGCGGTATGTTGTGTTTGTGTAGGGTCTGATAGCAGAGGAGGGCACATCAGCTGCTGATGAGGAGGATCCCGAACGCTTCCGGGAGGCTGTGCTGCGCTTTGAACGTCTGTTCGGTTTGCCTCAGAGAGAGAAGCTTGTGACGTATTTCTCTTGCAGCTACTGGAAAGGACGAGTGCCAAACCAGGGCTGGATCTACCTCAGCACCAACTTCCTGTGTTTCTACTCCTATATGCTGGGAAATGAGGGTTAGAAACATGATCGCCTGTTTACACATAATACCACAAGCTGGCTATTTTATGATGGTTATGATGTCTGAACAATGCGTTTATTAGCAAAGGGGTTTTATAATTGTTTGGAACCAAGGCCCCACATATATTGTACTTGTGGCCCCCTGGGTGGTCCCTGGACCCCTGTTTGAAAACACCTACACTGCCTTTCAAAAGTTTGGGATCAGCAAGTTTTTTAATGTTTTTTTTTTTTCTTTTGCTCATCAAGGCCGCATTTATTTGTTCAAAAATACAGAAAAAAACAGTAATATTGTGAAAAATTATTGCAATTTCTAATATTGGTTTCCTATTTTAATATTAGTGCTGTCAAATGATTAATCGCGATTAATCGCATCCAAAATAAAAGTTTTTGTTTGCATGATTTATGCGTGTGTTCTGTGTATATTTATTATGTATATATAAATACACACACATACTGTATATATTCTGAAAATATTTACATGTCTTTATTTATATTCATGACATTTATATTACAAGTAAATACATTTAATATATAAAAACATATTTCTCTGAAATATATACATGCATGTGTGTGTTTTTATATATACATAATAAATATACACACAGTACACATACATATATTAAGTAAACAAAAACTTTTATTTTGGATGTTACAAATGTTAAAAAAGAACAAATATAATTTTTTTCTGACAATATACTGTAAGTCATTACACTCATTTGTTTTTATCCATTTAACACATCCTTGCTGAATAAAAGTATTAATTCCTTTACTGACCCCAAACTTTTGAATGGTAGTGTATATTGTAACACAAAATTTCTATTTTGAATAGACACTGTTCTTTTGAACTTTTTATTGATCAAAGTATCCTGAAAAAGAAGTATCACATGTCCCAAAAAATATTAAGCTGCACAACTGTTTCGAACATTGGTTATAAAGCAGCAATATAGAATAATTTCTGAAGGATCATGTGATACTGAAGACTGGAGCAATGGCTGCTGAAAATTCAGCTTTGATCACAGGAATAAATGTCAAAACTTTTGAATGGCAGTGTATATTAAGTTTGCATATCAGTCAATATTCATTATTTAGCAACTCGGACAACTCTTATTTTTTCCACGTGCAAAGAGGTTAACCAATTATAACAGAGGACATTCACATGTCAAAGTCCTAAAGAGATAGCTCACCCAAAAATGAAAATTCTGTCATCATTTACTCACCCTCATGTCATTCTAAATCTGTATGGTTTTATTTCTTCTGTGGATTATAAGAGATATGTGACCCTGGACCACAAAACCAGTCTTAAGTTGCACGGGTATATTTGTAGCAATAGCCAAAAATACATTGTATGGGTCAAAATTATAGATTTTTCTTTTCTCAATATTTAGATTTTTTTGCACCCTCAGATTCAAGATTTTCAAATAGTTGTATCTCGGTCAAATATTGTCGTATCCTAATAAACATCAATGGAAAGCTTATTTATTCAGCTTTCAGATAATGTATAAATCTCGATTTCGAAAAATTGACCGTTATGACTGGTTTTGTGGTCCAGGGTCACATATAACACCTTATGTGCTTCATATATAATGGTTTTGCCTTTGTAAGTGTTACAGTTGGCATCTGCCAAAATCTCATATTATTCATGGTTTGTGCATTTCTTGCTTAGTGAAACTGGTGTATCCCTGGGATGAGGTGAGCCGTCTGGAACGTACGTCGAGTGTGTTGTTGGCAGAGAGCATCCGTGTGTGTGTGCGTGGAGAGGATCATTTCTTCTCAATGCTCCTGAGGCTCCAGCAGACATACCTGATAATGCAGCAGCTGGCCGACTACGCCATTGTGCGCTTCTTCGACAAAGAAACATTTAATGCTGAACATCCACTTGCCAACCCTCTTCACATCACGCAGAGGTGCATTAGTTTTATTCCTCTGTTACCTATTTTTGTTTTACTGGACGATGTCTGACTCTACTGTAATCGTTGCAGGGCTCTGGAAATCCATGCACGGAATCAGTCATTTCGAGCATTTTTCCGGTTGCCGCAGGAGGAGAATCTTTGTGAAGTGCATGAGAGTTTCCTCTGGGTTCCATTCAGCCATGTCAATACGCTTGGAAAAATCTGTCTCTCTGAGAACTGTCTGTGCTTTGCAAGCCAAGATGGGTCTCAGTGCCATCTCATAATCCCTCTATGGGAGGTGCGTATGTTTTCTGCAAACTGCAAAGAATGTCATGGTGAAGACTGCCCTTGAGAAAAAGAAGCATGCGCAATATTATTGAATGTGCACTTGTACTTCAAATCGTAAATGTATATTTAAAAAAAACTATACTTGCAGATTATATAAATCAAATAAAAGGCCACCTAAGTGTACTTTAAAGAGGTGGTTCATTGCGATTTCATTTTTTTAACGTTAGTTAGTGTGTAATGTTGCTGTTTGAGCATAAGCAATATCTGCAAAGTTACAAAGCTGAAAGTTCAATGCAAACGGAGATAGTGTCTTTTAAAATTCTGGCAGTTTAATGCCTACAAAAACAGCTGGTAGGGACTACAACGAGTTACTTCCCGGGTTTGTGACGTCACAAACCCAGATAAACCCCGCCCTTGGGAAAAGGCAGCAAAGGGGGCGAGGCCATGCTGCGCTGCTTTAGAGGAGAGGAAGAGAAAACTAGAGGTGCACGTAAATATCTGTTTATATATGAATCACGATTCTGTCTTCTAACGATTCTAATGGTCAGCGCGTTTCTCAGAGAAGGGACAGAGTGGTGTGGAATAAAGGTAAATTGTGAAAAATAATGTTTTTTTTTTAAACGAAGCATTAACACATGTTAGACTGCACCCCATAAACACAATCAAGCCTAGAAAAAAAATAGTGAACCACCCCTTTAAAAAAAAGTACACTTTCATGACTATGTTTCTCAATACACTTTAGTACACTTTGTAATAATAAGGCAATAAAGGTATACTTTTGATTTATTGTTTTAAAAGCCTTTTGTTATGCTTTAAAGTAGTTAGTCATCTAATTTGTTTTCTTAAAGACTGATCATGACTTCTTAAAGTCCATTGCAAAAAGATAGATTGGTCTGCTAGTAACAAAATGATAGAGTGGTAACTGCTAGTTAGTCAAACTATTTCTTAAGACACAGTCTTAACATAGTGCCTATGTTTATGCAACTGGCCCCTGTGTTTAAGTTAAAGTTGAACTACTGTTTTATGTTGATGTTGAATAATCTTGTGTGAATTATACTTTCAACACCAAAGTGATTTCCATTAACAGAGGATAAAAATACATTTTGAAATATATTTTACCTACAGAATCTAAGCAATCAATCCAGACTAAAGTTCAGAGTATTCTTTTTTCACCCCTTTCGGCCATGGGCATATTCTCACAGTTCTGCCTTTAGACTTTTAGAGTTTTGGAGAGTTCATAAGTTTCTGCTGTTTTGTTATCACTGTGTTTGTATTTCACTAATGCCGATTTATGTGTGGTTTTGGCATTAATGTGTTCCTGTAGGTGTTTAGTGTGGAGCTGCCAGATCACGGTAGTCGTGCCCTGACTGTGTGTCTTCGTGGCAAGAGAGCTTTGCGTTTTTCTGAGGTTCGGGATTTTGAGCGACTTGCTGCCACCATCCGCAGAAAGTGTGGGACAGCAGGAAGCCCCCAGCACTACATCAGTAATCCGGTAATTCCTCTACGCTCTAGCATCCACTCTTAGAAATGATGTGTTTTAAGTATGCAAACACTTGTCATGATAATATATTTCATATCATTTAAAAATATCCTGCATTTCATGGTATGATTTTGTGGTAACTGTAAAAATGGCAGAGGAGAAACTAGATTGCATGTGTGTGTTTTTCTCTCTGAGGATGAGGAGGGTGTTATGGTGGGGCAAAGTCAAGCCGTCAGCACTGAAGCTCTTATGAACGTCTTTCATCCACATGATGCAGAAAACCTTGACCCCAAAATGGTACAAATAAGCTTATTGCAATATTGGTGCAATGTTAGTTTAGTAAAGATTATTAATGAAATCAAAACATGTGGTATACACTACCGTTTAAAGGTTGGTTGGTTGTCAGTAAGATTAAAATATTCATTCAGCAAGGACACATTAAATTGAGAGTAGCAGTGAGAGTAAATGCATTTGTGATGTTACATAGGATTGGCATTTCAAATAAATTCAGTTTTTTCTATACATCAAAGTATCCTGAAAAAAGTGTATTGTGTGAAGACTAGAGTAATGGCTGCTGAAACTTCAGCTCTGCCTTCACAGGAATAAATGACATTTTGAAAATATATTCAAATAGAAAACGGTTATTTTAACATTGTGATTGACAGCTGAAGGAGAGAATGAAGGAGCAGTCGTGGCAGATCCATTTTGCTGAATATGGCCGTGGAACTGGAATGTTTTGCACCAAAAAAACACGGGATCTCATTGTACGAGGAGTTCCAGAGACCCTCAGAGGAGAACTGTGGATGCTCTTCTCAGGTGTGTGTTGTTCTGGTTGTGTGTGGGTGTATATGTGCCACAGTTTTGTACATACATGTTTGCTTGTGTTATAGGTGCAGTACATGACATGACCTCTCACCCCGGATACTATGGACGGCTGTTGGAGGAGTGTATGGGCAGCAGCTCGCTTGCGTGTGATGAGATTGAGAGAGATCTGCATCGCTCACTCCCAGAACACCCAGCATTCCAGAGCGACACAGGAATCTCGGCTCTTCGCCGCGTCTTGACTGCCTACGCTCATCGCAATCCCAAAATCGGCTACTGCCAGGTGAAAACACACACGTAACATTTTCATCTATTCTAACACATGGTCTCAGCATCAAATTGCACAGTTCATAGAACATCTGATTCATCCTGTTCACAAATTTGTTAAAAAGCTTTCTCAAAACCATCATGTTGCACTCTGATTGAATGTCAACACAATTTCAAGCTGCCCAGGTTTGTGTTGGTGTATGAGGTTCATGGCGTAAAATCTTGGATAAATTCTCACTTAGCAAGTGTTTACATGTCAATCAGATGATCCTAGCATGTCTAAAGGCCCTTTGTTTAGGCCTGATTTTGTTTAAAATGATGTTCTTTGCTTAAAGAATAATGGGGCCTTAAGTGACTGGTTGTAGCTTCAAAGTGAATCAGACTTTATGTTGGTGTACAATATGTGTGTATTCAACATCCCACTCATGCACAACCTACAGTATTATCTGCAAGACTAGGATAAACACAATTATTCATTACACACATTGCACATTGCATCAATATTTGATATTAAATATTTAATAAAACAAGGAAAATGAAAACCAGCTGAATCTATGGTAATAAAGAACATAAATAGAACTCATTTCAAAATATTTCTGTGTGCAAAACAGAAAGGACATGAAATTTGAATAATTTTTTGGTAATCAAAACTTGGTGTATGCAAAGTATAAGAAGCATGGGAAATATGCAAAGTGAAGTATTCAAGGAATATGGTGAATGGAAGCCAAATTATTTTTGTTTATATTCAATTTGCATATACAGCAATATCACAAACTCTAAAAAAGGGACTAAAAAAATCTGTCATTTTAAATGCAAATTTGTGTTTTTCACTTTATTCACTAAAAACTCTACTTCCACTCATTCTAATAATAATTTAGTTTTCATGTATTATAACTGTATCATATTGTTTTGTCGGTCTGTCCAGGCGATGAATATCCTGACGTCTGTGTTGCTGCTGTATGCTAAAGAAGAAGAGGCTTTCTGGCTGCTGGTCGCTGTGTGTGAACGAATGCTCCCAGACTACTTCAACCGTAGAATTATTGGTATGTGTGTGTGTATGTGTGGTTATACACATCTCATACCCGGGAGGTGATTGACTCATCTTAATAAACTTGCAGGCTGCCATTATAACACAATGCCAATGGTGTCGTAATTGGATTATAATTACTGAGCTTTGTTAAGGTGCTCCACAATTTTTTTTCATGTTAAGTACTTCCTCCTATTCTGTCTGTGATTAGTTGTGTCATTCTGTTTGTTGCTGCAGTGGCAGTTTACTGAACCTATTTGTTTTTGAATACAGTATTATTCATGTCTCAGTGTGTGTTTTCCAGGAGCCCTGGTGGACCAGGCTGTGTTCGAGGAACTTATCCGTGAGCATCTAACCCAGCTGACCGAACACATGACGGACCTGTCATTCTTCTCATCAGTGTCGTTGTCATGGTTCCTGACTCTCTTCATCAGCGTACTGCCAATAGAGAGCGCTGTGAATGTTGTCGACTGCTTCTTTTATGATGGTATCAAAGCCATCCTGCAGCTTGGCCTTGCTGTCCTTGACTACAATATGGACAATCTGCTTTGTTGCCATGATGACGCAGAAGCTGTCACAGTCCTCAACAGGTGATTGGAACGTTGTCCTCTTAACATGGCCAAAGCATGATTGTAGCAAGCTGTGTTGTCATTATGTTATGTGCAATATAAAATTAAAAGGGGGATTTTTAAACAGAAAAGGTGTCACAAAAATGTATTTATATTATATTATATTAATTATATTATATTATATTATATTATATTATATTATGTTATGTTATGTTATGTTATATTATATTATTGAAAGGGACATTTTTCCATGCTGTGTGACTCATGCAACAAAGATCAGGAATGATCGGACTCAGTCAAGAGTGTCTTTGGGTGACAAGCTGCTGTTTAATTGTAAACAGCATCAACAAGATTATTTTTAGTTTACAAACTTAACCTGTATTTAAATCAGATTTTATCCTTCAGGTTTTTTGACAGTGTCACAAATAAAGACAGTCCCCTGCCAGCTACAGTACAGCAGGCATCTGCAACAGCCAATGACAAATCAATACAAAAGGTTGACATCAGCGATCTCATCAAAGAGGCATATGAGGTAAAGCTACACACTTTAATATACTGTAGTGAACATTAAAATCTGTTTTCTTTTTGATGTCTTTAGCTCTGGTTTTGTCAGAACATGTAGTAAACGCAGAATTTGTATTCTTTTTAAGGTAGTGAATTTATAACAAACACTCTGTAAAAGTGACTAATAAAATGAATCTGATGTATTTGTTAAGGCTTTGGTAATTTGCACCTGTACTCGTGGTGACAGATTTTATAGGAATGTAAAATCTGAATGTGCAATGAAAAGGTGTACATTTTTCAGCACTTTCAAACTGGTCAGTTGCATGGAATGATGAAAACCCCCCTCTGACAGGAGTTCTGTGGTCAGCTAACCGAAGGGTCTAAAATAGACGGTTGCTCAGACTAATGAAACTTTTTTTTTATTTCAGAAATATGGAGACATTCGAACAGAGGAAGTGGAAAACATGCGGAAGAGGAACAAGCTGTATGTCATTCAAACACTAGAAGACACAACAAAACAAAATGTAGTAAGTACAAAAGCCATGCTGTATACTCCTTAATTTCATAATATAATATAATATAATATAATGATAAACTAAGCATTAAAAAAAAGAAGAAGATTCTGCATATGCGTTTGTAGGTTTTAGATTTTGATGCTGATTATCAAATTCATAATGGAGAAAAAAGAAACATACAAAATAGAAGCAGCATTCATGCCTCATGCATAGAGTTATGCATGATGCATTAAATTCATCAAAAGAGTCAGTAAAGACATTTAAAAATGTTACAAAAGATTTCTGTTTCAAATAAAAGCTGTTCTTTGATTTCTGAATAAAATATTGTCAAATATTTTGAATTGTAACAGTATTTCACAATATTAATGTTTTACTGTATTTGTGATCAAATAAATGCAGCCTCGGTGAGTATAAGAGACTTCTTTCAAAAACATTGAAAACTCTTATCGACCCAGAACCTTTGAATGGTAGTGTAATTCGCATAATTTTTTCTTTACACATTGTTTGCACATAAAGATTATAGTCCATTGTAAGATGTTTAATTGTCTGTCATTTTTGTGTCTTATTGCTGCAGCTGCGTGTTGTTGCTCAAGATGTGAAATTCAGTGCTGCTCAGCTGGATGAGCTCTACATGCTTTTTAAGGTGAGTTGCGCTAACAAATTTGTGCACTTCCATGCCTGAAGGCCTCAAAATGCTGCTGCAACCACACAAACTGTTAAAGCTTGTGTCTTTTGACTGTTTGTGTGTTATAGAAGCAGCACTTTGTGAGCTGTTACTGGTCAGTATGTAGTCCTGCCCTGCAGAACCATGACCCCAGCCTGCCATATCTGGACCAGTATCAGCTAGATCAGTCCCAGTTTAGTAGCCTGTTTAACCTCCTGCAGCCGTGGACCACACACACGCATGTGCGCTCACTGGCACGATCAGCCTTCCGGCTTCTGGACGAGAATGGAGACGGACTTGTGAACTTCAAAGAATTCATGTGCAGTCTGGGTAAGAGGAGCCTGCCCTGAACTAAATTGACTGCCCTTTGACCTTTCACCTCAGTACATAGCAGCTTTCCTTAAACCTGCCAGATTCATTCAAGAGTGTGTGTGTGTGTGTCTGTGTGTGTGTCTGTGTGTGTGTCTGTGTGTGTGTGTATTGCAGATATCCTATACAACAGATCTTTCACAGAAAAACTAAAATTTCTCTTCAAACTGCACCTTCAACCAGGTAAATTAATTGTATGACATCTGCCACTGTGTAATAATAAAAGCTTAGTGTGAACATAAGATATGGTTATGCATGCATATGATTAATCTTTATATTGTATATCTATACACCAAGATGTTCATGTCTTTTTTCTTCAGTCGAAAAGGTTTTTGAGGAAAACATTCCAGGACTTTTCTCCATATAATGGACTTCAATGGTAGCCAACAAGTTGAAGGTCCAAATAGCAGTTTCAATGCAGCTTCAAAGGGCTCTACACGATCCCAGCCGAGGAATAGGGGTCTTAATTAGTGAAACGAAAAAATATATATACGTTTTAACCACAAATGCTCATCGTGCACTAGCTCTGCGATGTGCGTCTGCGACTTCACGCATTACGTAATCTTGTTGGAAAAGTCATGCGTGGTTAATTCTTCATCTTTGTACTCTGATTCAGAAAGGTAGGGTAGGGCGAAAAGCTCCATCTCATTTTCTCCTCCAACTTCAAAATCATCCGATATCATTGTTTTACCTTTTTTTTGTAAAGGGCGTTTGACTATCTTTGCACATTCGCTTTGTAAACACTGGGTTGGTACTTCAGCCTATGTCACGTGTGTGACCTTTCCAACGCGACTGCGTAATACGTGAGGTCAAGCTAGTGCAAGATGAGCATTTGTGGTTAAAAAGTATATAGATTTTTATTTTTTTTAGAAAATGACTGATTGTTTTGCTAGATAAGACCCTTATTCCTCTGCTGGGATCAGGACCTTTGAAGCTGCATTGAAACTGCAGTTTGGACCTACAGACTGTTGGGTCCCTTTAACGTCCACTATATGGAGAAAAATTCTGAAATGTTTCCCTCAAAAACCTTGATTTCATTTCGACTGAAGAAAGACATGAACATCTTGAGTACATTAATGGATGAATGGGGGAGAGTACATTATAAGGAATTTTTTTTATTCTGGAAGTGAACTAACCCTTTATGCAGTCTATTTAGCTCAATAACTCTTAAAGGGGTCATATGATGCGATTTCAATTTTTCCTTTCTCTTTGGAGTGTTACAAGCTCTTGGTGCATAAAGAAG